AAAAAAAAAAAAAAAAAACAAAAATACTCATGTAAGTATTAACATCTTTCAATTCCTAAAAATACTTCCAAAATGTTCCAATTTAAAGTACTGTTAAAAACACATTCTTTGCAGAAATAAAAACAGTACCTGAAAATGATTTGCATGATTTTTTTTTTTTTTTGAGACTGAGTCTCAAGCTGTCACCCTCGGTAAAGTGCCAGTGCGTCACAACTCACAGCAACCTCTTGGGCTTAAGCAATTCTCTTGCCTCAGCCTTCCAAGTAGTTGGGACTATAGGCACCTGTCACAATGCCCAGCTATTTTTTTGTTGTAGTTGTCATTGTTGTTTAGCAGGCCTGGGCTGGGTTCAAACCTGCCAGGCTTGGTATATACGGCTGGGGTGCTACCCACTGAGACAGAGGCGCTGCCCAATTTGCATGATTTTTAATTCAAAAGTCATTCAAGTCTGGAGAACTATAAATGGCATTACTATTTACATTTTTTTTTTTTTTTTAAAGAGACAGAGTCTCACTTTATCACCCTCTATCAACAGAGTGCTGTGGCGTCATAGCTCATAGCAACCTCCAACTCCTGGGCTTAGGCAATTCTCTTGCCTCAGCTTCCTGAGTAGCTGGGACTACAGGCATCTGCCACACTGCCCGGCTATTTTTTTGTTGCAGTTTGGCCAGGGCTGAGTTTGAACCTGCCACCCTACCCAGGGAGCCACAGGCGCTGCCCGCTAATTACAATTTTTAGAATTATAAACTGAGGAAGCTGGACTGCTTTAGCAATATACATAATCTATACTTGTTACAAATTTCCACAAATTTTCCATTTGCTGTTCAACATCATCGCTGTATTAAAGGAAAAACTTAGGAAAGAGAAGTAATGATTATTAATTAATTTATTTTTAAAGTCAGTCAAGTTTAGCAGTGAGGGGTTGTATACCAACTTTATTTTTGTTTTGTTTTGTTTGAGACAGAGCCTTGCTCTGTTGCCCCAGGGTAGAGTGCCATGGCATCATAGCTCACAGCAACTTCAAACTCTTGGGCTCAAGCAATCCTCTTGCCTCAGCCTCTTGAGTAGCTGGACTACAGGCCCCCACCACAACACCAAGCTAATTTTTCTTTTTTTAGTAGAGACAGTAGCTTTTGCTTATGCTGGTCTTGAACTCCTGAGCTCAAGGGATGGATCCTTCTGCCTTGGCCTCCTGGAGAGCTGGATTACAGGTGTGAGCCACTGTGCCTGGCCTGTATGCTGACTTTAGTGACACTAATGTTTGTAAGTTCTGATAACCCAATACCATTGGATCAGCCAGAGAAATAATGATTAAAGTGTATGATGTGTATAGTTGCAAATATCAATGATGTCAGCATTCTTCTAGATACCTAAATATGAAAAATTGTGTTAAAAATGTTGTATATATTAATAAGAACATTTGCTATTTAAATGTAGCATCCTGAAAGGTACTTAAGGTCAGACATAAGTAAGTTTATTTTGAAAAAAATCTTTAAATTTTAGTTATACTGTAAGATGGTAAGTTCTAAAAGTTCTAATAAAATGCGATTTTTCTGGACTCAAAGTTTCTTTGTTTATACTGTTCTTTCTTTCTTTCTTTCTTTTTTTTTTTTTTGAGAGAAGAGTCTCACTCTGTTACCAAAGGCTAGAGTGCTATGGTATCAGCCTAACTCATAGCAACCTCAAACTCCTGGACTCAAGTGATCCTCTTGTTTCAACCTCCTGAATAGTTAGGACTGTAGACACATGCCACAAGGCCTGGCTAATTTTTCTATTTTAGTACAGATGGGGTATCACTATTCTCAGGCTGGTGTTAAACTCCGGAGATCAAATGATACTCCCAATCTTGGCCTCCCAGGGTGCTAGGATTATAGCTGTGAGCCATCATGCTCTTTCTGTCGCCTACGCTAGAGTGCAATGGCATTATCATAGCTCACTGCAACCTCTAATTCCTGGGCTCAAGTGATCTTCCTGTCTCAGCTTCCAAGTAGCCGGTAATACAGGTACACAATTTTTTCTTTCTTTTTTTTTTGTGAACAGTCTTATTATGTCGCCCTCGGTAGAGTGCCATGGTGTCACAACCCACAACAACCTCAACTCCTGGGCTTAAGCGATTCTCTTGCCTCAGCCTCCCAAGTAGGTGGGACTACAGGTGCCTGCCATGATGCCCGGCTATTTTTTGTTATTGTTGTTGCAGTTGTCATTGTTGTTTAGCTGGTCCGGGCAGGGTTCCAACCTCAGTGCATGTGGCCAGCGCCGAGCTGGGTACACTGTATTTTTTAAAGAGATGGGGTCTTGCTGTGTTGCCTAGGCTGATCTCAAACTCCTGGCCCCAAGCAATCCTCCCAACTCAATCTCCCAAAGTACCGGGATTACAGCTGAGAGCCACCATTCCTGGCCTATACTGCATTTCAATTACTAAACAAATAAAATCATTTTAAATGAAATAATAATAAAATCAAACCACTTAAAATAAAATCACATATGTGGGAGGACATGGCTACAAAGGAACAGCACAGAGGACATATTTGGGATGATGGAACTGTTCTGCATCTTTTTTTTTTCCACTTAATTTTTTTTTTTTTTTGAGACAGAGCCTCAAGCTGTCTCCCTGGGTAAAGTGCTGTGGCATCACAGCTCACAGCAACCTCCAACTCCTGGGCTCAAGTGAGTCTCCTGCCTCAGCCTCCCGAGTAGCTGGGACTACAGGCGCCCGCTACAACACCCAGCTATTTTTTGGTTGCAGCCATCATTGCTGTTTGGCGGGCCCGGGCTGGATTTGAACCTGCCACCTTGGGTGTACGTGGATGGCGCCTTAGCCACTTGAGCCACAGGTGCCGAGCCTGTTCTGCATCTTGACTATGGTTCCTGATTGTAGGGACGGTTCGGGACTGTGCATATTAACAGTACACAAAACCAAAAAGTCAGTTTTACTGTATGTTAGTTTTCAAAAGAAAATTAGAAAGAATCACATATGCAATCAAATTAAATGTAAATAATACACTACAGTATTCCACAAACCTGGTTAAATTTAGGGTAAATGTAGATTTTGGTCAATTTACTTTTGTAATTTATATTACAAAACCATAATTATCTTTAATATACTTTTTCAAACTACATGTGCCCAGAAGAAAGTTCTAATGTAAGCCCTGATACATAGAGTGATTTGTCTAACTCTCACACTTCATGCCTGCCACCTTAGGTGTGCTGACAGCTCAGTAGGACTAAATCAGGGGGCCCAGGCATAGACTAAACAGACTTGTAAGTAAAAACCCACAAGGCATCATTTTTTTTTTCCCCCAGTTTTTGGCTGGGCTGGGTTTGAACCCACCACCTCTGGCATATGGGACCAGCGCCCTACCTTTTGAGCCACAGGTTCTGCCCAGCCACAGGGCATCTTGTCTCTCAGGCTAAAAAGTTTCAATCCTTATCGTTCAGGGCTTACTGTTTTGTTATCAGAGTACCAATAAAATATTTACTATAATGAAATGTATAATTTTGAAAGTTACCAAAAAAAGTTACTATTATAACAAAGTGGAAGACAAATCTAGGTAAAATAAAGAAGCAAAACAAACTGTCTACACTACAATAATTCTGCATACTTTAGTGTTATAAATTTTGGTTACCTTTATTTATTCTCATTCAAAACAATGGAGTTAGTCTCACCTTCTGATTCATATTCACTTGCTTTCTGTTTCAGATCCTCTGTTACCAGGTAGACATCCCTGTCCCGGACTCTGTTGCGCTCTGAAAGGTGATATAAAATCTCTGTGGTCCGTGGGTTCACCTCATACTGTGGAATGGGATGATCTCCAAATATTTTTTTTAACCACGCAGCAACCTGACCATTGAAAGAAAGATAAATACTATAAGCCTTGTTTACTGTAATGGCATGATAAGAATATGACAAAGTGATCAAAAGCAAACTTTCTATGCTTTTCTAACACTCTGTGTGATCATTCAGGGATCCTACTTCACATTCTCACTTGTCTTTAGGGAGATATTAGATGATAGGAAATACAAAGTGAGCATCGGTCTAACTCACAGCAACTACAACAAACAGTACAATAGTCAAAATTACCAGAGCAACCTTTTCTTTCCCAAAGCTACACAAAAAAGTACAGGCTAATAATTTGCTTCACTTGAAAAACCTTAAAAGTCCAATATGAGGGTACAAAAGCACTAAAATACGTGACCGGTCTGGGGAAAAAAAAGAAAAAAAGGAGGTGTCCCTAACACACCATAAACCCCGCAGAGCCAGAAGCCTCCCAGAGTTGGGATGCTGGACGCTAAGCAGGTCCGGTGTGAAATAGCAGGAATCAGCAGTGACCGATGGATGAGGCTTGGCTGGAAGGTGGGTCTAGGTTCAGTCCCACTCCAGTCTGCTCAGAGCTGTTTCGTTTCAGGGGCTGCTGAACGCCTCTCAAAGTCTGGGTCCAAGTAAGGGAAGGCCAGGGAAAGAAGGGAAAAGCCCCTTTCAGGAAGGTCCAGGGGACTTGCAGATCATGAAGGCGGCACTAAAGATGGACGTGTGCAGTAGGGAAGAGGAAAAGTAGACTTGGGGTGCGCAAACGATCCGCCATGGCGTAGGTGCGTCAAGGATGCAGTCTAGGAGACCCGACATCCCCGCTCCCGCCCAGTCACCTGCGCTTCTTTCTCCTCCTGCGGCTCCATAGCTGCGGCTCCCGCCACTTCCCGCAGAACTCCTCGCGGGACCAGTGTCCCGCGCGCTCCTTAAGCCCTGCCCCCACGCCGTTGGTCCCGCCCCTCCCCAGGATTTCTGGGAGTTGTGGTTTTTAGCTGGAGTCGAGGCTGCTGAGCCCTAGGACAGGGCTGAAGACAGGCTCCTGCCTTGCAAACTTCACTCCTTTACCACTTCCTGCTGTCTCCGCCTCCACTGTATAATCTTTTAACTTAGATACATGTCTCACATAAACTCCAGGGATCCTCAAACTTTTTAAACAGGGGGCCAGTTCACTGTCCCTCAGACCATTGGAGGGCGGCTGCGGGCCCTAGGACAAGGGGCAAGTCGGCTGCTAAGCAGGACAGGCAGCGGTAGCAAAAACACCCGGAAAAATGTCCTAGGCAGGCGGCATGTGGCCCGCCAGCCGTAGTTTGAGGATGCCTGGTATAAGCCAAGACTTGGTAGATGGATAAGGTGACCAGACGTCCCACTTTTGGTGGGGCCAGTCCCGATTTCTAACAATTTGTCCCGCATCCCGTGTCCCCGGTGTTTTAAAAAAGTCCCGATTTTTGGAAAGAATGCATGACAAGCTAGGGAACAGCGGGAGAATGGGAAGGGAATATATGGTTTTCGGCTGCTGAAAAGGTTAATGTAACTCCATTTGGGAATGAAGAGGTTAATGTAACTTCATTTGGAAATGAAAAGGCTAATGTAAACTCCCTACTCCCCTCCTGGGCAAGGTCGCCCAGGTGGAATCCGTACCAGAAGGAGACTGGCTCCCTCCCTTGCTTCTAGGCAAGGACAATTAGCTCAGAAGGAGCTCCCCACCACCACCCCGGAGTAAGGTGACCAGACGTCTTGATTTTTAAAAATTTGTCTCATGTCCTGAAGCATTTTTAAAAAGTCCCGATTTTTGGGCAGAATGCACAACAAGCTAGGGAACGCGGGAGAACAGGAAGGGAATATATGGTTTTCAGCTGCCATGTGGCTATTTTGCCAGGATATGAGTTTTATATTATTTTTGTTAATTTTATAATGTTAAACTTTAATAATAAATAATTGTTGAGAACTGATTATTGAGAATTGCTTATCAAATTTTGCATTGTTGTCAGCCCCCACCCAATGATGTCCTGCTTTACCAATGTTAAAATCTGGTCACCTTATAGATGGAGCTAAAAGATGCTTCTACTAAAAGATGCTTGTAACTCAGAACAGTTACAAGTGAAGACAACATCAATAGTCTCCACTATCATGTATATCTAGCACCACACAGACACAAAATCTTTACCTATCACAAAAATCTCAGTATAAAAGATTCTGTGGGAAGGTGCAGTGGTTCATGCCTGCACTGCTAGCACTCTGGGACACTGAAGGGGAGGATAGCTTGAGGCCAGGAGTTGAAACCAGCCTGAGCAAAGCCAGACCCCATCTCTACTAAAACTAGAAAGATTTGCTGGGTGTCAGGGCCTGTAGTCCCAGATACTCGGGAGGCTGGGGCAGGAGGATTGCTTGAGCCCAGGAATTTGAGGTTGCTGTGAGTTAGGCTGAGCCCATGAGGCCATGCCACTCTATCCCTTGGGCACATAGTGAGACTCTCAAAAAAAAAGAAAAAGAAAAGAAAATTGTGTGTGAGTGTGCCTCTCCCCAGTCTTATTGGATAGGAATAGCAAGTGTTTATTTTTGAGACAGAGTCTCACTATGTCGCCCTCAGTAGCATGCTGTGGGGTCACAGCTCACAGCAACCTCAAACTCTTGGGCTTAACAGGCCTCCAGCCTCAGCCTCCCAAGTAGCTGGGATTACAGGCACCCGTCACAACGCTGGGCTATTTTTGTTGTTGTTGCAGTTGTCATTGTTGTTTTTTAGCTGGTCCAGGCCAGGCTGGAGCCCTCCAGCTTTGGAGTATGTGACCGGTGCCCTACCCACTGTGCGACGTGCACTGCCCTATTACTATTTTTTAAAATTTCAGGTTAAGGCTTGGTGCCTGTGGCTCAAGTGGCTAAGGCGCCAGCCATGTACACCCAAGGTGGCGGGTTCGAATCCAGCCCGGCCCGCTAAACAACAATGATGGCTGCAACCAAAAAATAGCCAGGTGTTGTGGCGGTGCCTGTGGTCACAGCTACTTGGGAGGCTGAGGCAGGAGACTTGCTTGAGCCCAGGAGTTGGAGGTGGTTGTGAGCTGAGATGCCACGGCACTCTACCCAGGGGGACAGCTTGAGGCTCCTGTTTCAAAAAAAAAAAATAATAAAATAAATAAAATAAAATTTCAGGTTAATATGAGGGTACAATCAATCAGGTTACAATGTTTGCATTTGTTAAAGTCCCTGATGTAGTTGTGTCTCACACCTACAACACGGAGGCGATTATTAACGCCCCTCACCTTCAAACCAGTAGCGCCCCCGGGACAGGTTGACGCCCACACCACCTCGCACCTGTAGGGCCTGGTACCTGCCCCTTAGCAGGTTCCGCTACTCACGTGGTTTCCCCGGGCAACCACAAGGTCGATTGGAAAGACCAAAGTAAATGTGTAACAAATGGTAGGCCCAAAGCTGGCAAACATCTAATCATTCATTTTGAGGTTTAAACGTAAAAAATAGTATTTAAAAATAAGTAGCCTGCCAAAAAAGGCAGATTCGCGTCCGTCCGGAGGTGAAGGCGGGGGGCGGTGCTTCCGGGTCAAGTGGGCTGGCTGCCTTGACCTTCCTTGCAGCTCGGCCATTTTGTCCCAGTCAGTCTGAGGCTGCGGCTGCGGAGAAGCTTATCGCGGAGACACCGCAAAGATGCTGTCCGTGCGCGTCGCTGCGGCCGTGGCCCGCACCCTCCCTCGGCGGGCGGGGCTGGTGAGCACCGGGGTCCGGCGCTGGGGAGGCGCCCGGCGGGGCTGCGGCGGGTGGCGGTGCGCTGCCTCGGGAGCTCTCTCTGCAGGACGGGGAGGGGATGTGGCGGGCCGCCATCTTGCCTCCGTTGCTGCTCGGGG